TATGTTGCATTACCTACATTGTACATGGTGTGCATATATTTGCATTTACCATGATGATATTTTACAAGGTATTTGTTTTTAGTTTTTGATTTTTAAGTAAAGGAGTAATAATTTGTTTTTGTGTCTGCATTTTGAGATAAGTTCTGATTGTTTATTTAGTAATTTGTGCTGGTCTGGGAAGGTGATCATAGCTATTTTCTCACAGATAATGAAACATACTTTAGACAAAACCAATACCTTAAACTAAATAAGTTACCCCACACAAGAAAAAATAAAAATAAAATTAAATAAATAAATTAACAATAGATAGCTTTTTCTCTTATCTATCTATCCATCTATCTAAGGAGCAAATGTAAGGTGAAAAAAATGAAAAAAGAACAAATGATCGTGACACCCTACAAATATGCACAATCATGCAGATGGGTGAACGTACGCAAATCTACAGACGGACACATGGCTGCACACATACAAACGCACACACATGAACACAAAGAACATGGGAAAAAAATTACACAAATGATAAGTACATAAAAAAGAAAAATTGAAAAATATAAGCAGTCAATTGTTGATACCACCTGAAAAGTGTACAGATAGGTCACCTGTGAAACTCTGGAGTCGTGATGCTGAAGGCAACATCAAACTTTTATTTATATTAATTCTAGATAGATAGAAATGGACATTATATAAGAGGAATGATTTGGTTGAAAACATGATGACATTTTAATCATTTCATTGAGCGTGAAATAATCTGAGAAAAAATCAAGGAGAGAGGAAAATAAAAGAACAGGAATTAAGATGACAACTGAAATTGCATTTAAATTTTTAAAGACCAAATTAAGAAGCCAGAAGCAAATATCACAAGTCAGAAGTGTGAGATAAAAAACATAGCATAGAACACTTATGGTGGCAGCCTTTTCAACTATAAGATGATGAGACCTAGCTACCAATCTAGTACTGAGCTTAAATTCATAAAGTCATGGTAGTAAAGAGGAAAGTTCATCAGAACCATTAACAGGAAAATATGTATAGAAAAGGTAGAGGGTAGCTTGCAGTTCAAATAATCTTTCTGACATATCTTACCAAATGTTTTTTCTTAATCTATGTCAAGATGAAAAATTGGAGAGCCATGTTTGAATTCCAGTTAAGCTTGTTGTATTCACTTCTGCATAAATACTCTTTGGAAATGTATGAATCCATCTCCCCTACCAGCTATGGGTTAAATAGTAAAACTTGTATCTGAGAAAATTATTGTTATTTTCAAAAAAATTGTTAATGCAATATTCACTTATGAAAAAATAATTATTCGTACAATTCAAAATATTTTGGCTTTAAATAACCTACAAAGGTTTGATAAAAAAATCAATTTGTCAATCAATTATTGTCATCAAAACTTAGATATATGTCCTTCTAAATTTGTATTGGTCTTTCTGATCATAAATATTGCATTTCCTGTTCCATAGTTTTTAACAAAACCACACACTTTGTGTCCTTTTTGCAGTCTAATTCTGCTACATGCTTTATTCATCAGAATTCAAGTGATATGTTTCATTATATGGCTGATGAAGCTTACATTCATTTGCACCTAGTTTCTTAGGTAGAGCAATGAAAATGGATGTACTAATGTTTTCCAGGAAGCTGCCAAGGTTGTATATTTCCTTTCATATTTCTGTAATCTTATCAATTCCAAAATTGTCTAAGCTTGACTGTAATTCTATTATAACCTCAGACTTTAATATTTCAGATCCTCAAATATTTTAATGCATTGCCCATTTTCCTAACTAGTCTTGAAAGAGTTTCTCCAATATATTTGTTCCATCTTTGAAGTTTTTTGACCTTTTCTATTATAAGTGTTCCCTCTTTTAATTTTTATGCATTTTGTTTATAAGCCCATTTTTATCTCCTGCTAATTCTTTTAAGGATATTTGACTTGTCTATAAAGCTCATTCTTTCTATCTATATACTTTTTGTTGAGCCATTCCTCTTTTGTCTGCTTGCATGTTTTTAATTTCTGTGTTTAATGTTTTATAGCCATTTCTTGTTATTATTTGCAGTCTCTTTTTAATCATCATGAGAATTTCATTTGTCAGTCTCGCCTTTCTCCCTTGTCTCACTTTCGTTGGGATGATCTCATACGGATACAGAAGACACTCATCTCCCTTTGGTGGAAGATAAGTCCTGTGATCACATGATAACCACTTCATGACATTACTACATAAAGTGACCCAAAGTGGGAGTTGATTTTCAGTTGGTGAATAGCAACCAAACGATAAGGTTGATTTGTTCTAGCCTGTGCCTTTGGCTCAGACTGAAGCTAAATTTACCTCCTCAGTTTACAAGCACATGCCATTTTACTTTGCTTGATATGTAGACATATGTGCTATATAGTTCTCCATGTGGGACATGTGTATATATGTATATGTATATATATATATGGTTTTGTGCATGTCTTAGTAATATAAAAGTCTCTCTGAGAACAAGGCATGTTTGTTATTCTTTCATGAGCTGCAGTGTTGTTATATCATGGATATAACACTGGCCATAACAAAAGAAATGTAAATAGAAGAATAAATATTTCTTTCGTCCATTCTCATTACAATCTCATTCACAAAGGTTATTAAAGCTTCTCATAATGGATTCCACTTAGAATTCCAAGTCTCACCTAAATTATATTTGCTTTTAACTCTTGGCATATATCTTTTTGCAATTTCGGTCATTCAGGAATCTGTCATATTGCAGTTTAGCCATTCGTTTGAATATGAATGGAAGGTGTTGTTCCCCCATTTGGCACTTAGGTAGGTTTTACATAGTCATGAACTTGGTGCATATATCAGAGATAGGTTCCTATATGGTAGAGACCCCAAAAACAATAACCTTGATTTCCTATTCATGAGCTTTTGTGTAGCTCTCATTCATACTGTCTTTCATTTTCACTATCTATCAACCTCAAGATAATGGAATTGTATTGATTGACAAAATAGTTGAGAAGATTGACAATATCCTCTCTGGTGATCCCTCAACTACCACTCGTATAGTGACTTCAATATTCACCATGTGGAATGGTTAGCCAACTCAAAATAAACTGGCAAAGAAGGAAGATACTGTAAGAATTTCTTCATTGCTTACAAACTGACACAGATCATAGATAAGGCTAGCCATGTTCCCGACATAGCTGGGCATTATGCAAATCTACTCAACATCTTTCTCACCTCCTGTCATGATGAATATTCTGCTGAAATACTACCCTGATTGGTCATTTCACACCATTCACTGATCAATGGGAAAATTGATGCCAAACTGAAGCATCCTCTAATGTTATCCATTCTGCTGATGAGGATAACTTCAGATTTGATAGTGCTGAAGCTCCTCTCTCAGCATTCTTCAAAAATAGAGCCGCCAGGACAATGCCCCTTATCTCCATCACTTTTAAAGAGGCTATTTGCTTTGAACGTCCACTGAGACACATTTACCCCTGACCTCAAGTAGAAGTCATAAATATGATTGATTTGGAAAATTGTTGGCTCCTTATATGACTCCAGAAAGTACCTTATTCCTCCTGTCATGTTTTAGCTTTACAAGATTGAGATCAGACACAAAATGGACAAAAATTGACTGGAGCTGCATAAACCTCACTTTCCTGCCTAGATAGAGTTCAAAAGTATTTATGTGGCCTTGTGGGTGATGAATTATTTTCCATTCTACAACCTCTTTCCCACACATGAAACATTGTGTGCTTCTCATAGCTTTATTGCTATTTCCATGGGAAATGTTCTGATGAGCTACATTCACTAGTGCCACCAGTTCAGACTTTTACAGCTAAGATCAAACCATCCTCTTTCTCTTCATATTCCAATGAAAAGAAGAAAGTTCCATTTAGACAGTTTCTTCCCAAGAGTCACTGCTTTGTGGAAACTCCCGAAATCTTAACCTCTTCAAGTCTACGATTAAACATTATTTATCCAATATTTCATCATAATCTATGTTTCTTACATCCATTAAATAAAATCCCATCCAGTAACCCTCTAGCCTGGCTCTTTGGCCATTACTGGTTGAAGAATAGCATAAAAAAAGAAGACTTTTGCATAGCTCAAATTTCAAGTTTTAATATTGTTTAGAGTCTATGATTAGAGATTCTTTGTAGAATTTAAATATGATATTCAGTAACAATTCAACAGATTTATTTGACTCTGATGAGTGGCATGTCCATAAAACTTTGAAATCATTTGGTAAGATAAGTTCTTTGAACATTTTCTAATTAATTAATAGACTATATATGCATGTATGTGTGTGTTTTAGATTTTTATAGTCTATGAAAGAAAGCATTTCTTTTAAACAACAAATATTTATATATATATATATATATATATATATATATATATGAAAGAAAGAAAGCATTTCTTTTAAACAACAAATATTTATATATATGAATAAAAAGACAAGAAGAAAACTATTCTTATTCTCTGAGGGATTTTTTCAAGGCAAGAGTAAGGATTTATTTTTCTGTACAATTTAAACAATATTCATTTATTAAAAAAATGTTTTTGAATATTACCCTCTTACTTTTGTCTTATCAGACTTTGAATTGTGGCATTTTATGCCCTCTACATGTTTTAGCTGACCTTTCAACCACCTGGTGAATATTCATGAACATTCTCAAATTTAAAAGCATCCTTGCTCTTGTATACAAACACGTGCAACAAAATAAATCCTTACTTTTGTCTTGATAAAGTCCCAGAGAGGATAAAACGCATCAACTATATATATATATATATATATAAGCATTATTTTTCAAGTAAATTGAATTGAGTTCTACAAGCCACTGGTATATTTTGTACAGAGAAAAATGTTAAAATTTCTTTCCTTTCTGCTGTGCGCTGATGACCTAGAGGTAAGATATCTGACTGATGTCAAATGAGTCAGGTTTTGATCCTGGCTTGAAGCAATTCAGTGTCTAGCCACATGAAGGAGCTGTGATACATCAAAATAGTCTGTCTGTGGATGACTAGATAGATAGATAGATAGATAGATAGATAGATAGATAGATAGATTTTCTTGAAATAACTTTTGTTCCTATTTACCCCTTTCATTGTAATGAAACACATACAATTGTATGCATTATGGATATTTTCATTTTATTAATTTCTTGTATCAAACATGCACAACATATAGATAAAATGGCTTAAAAAAGAAATCATTTCTTAGAATGTTGTATTTTACTTTCAGTTCAAAGGTTAATTTTTATTTATTTCAAGATCAACCAAAAAAGCCACCAAACTGTTTGCAAACAAAATTTATTTATTTGCTTCAATTTTTTTAAATGGAAGATTATTTAAAGATTCTCTTCATAAAAAATGAAAACAGTAAAAAATTGACTTTATTACATTTATCTATGGCGTGGTCACTTTTTACAAAATTTTACATCAAGATAGTTTGGAAAGAAAGTTAGGAAGTTAAAACTTTTTGGATTAGAATCTTGATCAAGAACAGCTAAGAAGGGAAAAAGATAAGTTATGATTTGTACAAATCATTTCACCCTCAAAATTAATTTTTGTATTTCTCCCTAATTTACCAAAGTTCAGCCATAATTTTGTGAAATGTAATTTTATGTTATTTACATTCAAACTAATCTCCTCATCATTCTTGTTTTTATCAATATTTTAGTCATTATGCTTTTAGTCATTGGTCTGCTTTAGTTGTCTTTTAATCAGGGTCACCTTCAGGGAATTTCAAACTGAACCCTACAAGAGTAGATTGTTCTTGTTCTACCATCCATGTCTAGGGATATCTCATCTAGTTCTTTTTTTAGTTCTACTCAGTTACTACCCAGACTGTTTCTAATATACTATTCAGCCCCCAGGGATTCAACTCGCAATTACTATACCACTATATTCACAAACCAATTTAAAACATTGTTTCATGAATTAAGTTACAGAGCCTTTATAGGCTGTTGCCCTGTGTGACAATCCTGAAAGCAGAACTTGAAGCCTTATACATAATGATCCTATTATATTCTAGCATTCTTCCACAGCTCACTCATTATATGGTTTTATTTCAATTTGCAAATATCAAACTATAATCCAACCCTTAGTATTTGTGCATAATATAATGAAGCTTTTAGTCACAAAAAATGTTTTTCCAACATCACTGAATATGGATTTCCATGGGTCTTAATATATTATATCTACATAATAAAACATACATTATGAAATGGACAAAGTCCGACAATTATTTTAAGACATTTTTATGTTTATACATTCTTTTTATAGATACAAATATTTAAGTAAATGCTTTGTTTATAATAAACAGTATTAATAACATTTACCGGCCTGAATGTCTGAGAAATTTTCATAGAAAATATTCGTCCTCCATCTTAATTGCCGGACTTTGTCCATTTCATAATGTGTGATGTCATTTGTTTACATTTGGATATACTTTGAGAAGATATGAATGGACGTGAGAGATTCATGGAAGATTGTAGTTTAAAAGCAGTAAAATCGACCTTGCTAACCGAACGATCTTCTGTGGCTGAATCGGTTAAGGCATATCAGGCTATATGACGGTTCCGTATAGGATACAGGTTCAATTCCTGTCGGAGGATGAATATTTTCTATGAAAATTTCTCAGACATTCAGGCCGGTAAATGTTATTAATACTGTTTATTATAAACAGAGCCTTTACTTAAATATTTGTATCTATAAAATGAATGTATAAACATAAAAATGTCTTAAAATAATAAAACATGTTATAACTTACCGGGTGTAACAACAAAATTGTCCAATTGTTAGATTAAGTATTAAAGATAATTCTTCCAGGTTTTAATAATACTATTTTATGCTACTTTGAACAATAAGAATGTAGAATTACTGTCCAAGTTTAACAGAAAAATCATAATGAAATCAATCATAAATGAAAATTAAATGTTCATCCTTAATCAATCCTTAGCTAAGGATCAGAAGCCTATGAAGGATTGAAATAAAGTTCAAATATATATATATATATATATATATATTATTCCAGGATCATTTTCCAACATATTCATGCTGATCTTTGCATCCTCTAACCTTCTAACTTTCTGTCCTGGAGTAACAAGGTGCCTCACACGTTTCACGTACAATTTCATTTTCAAGTCTTTTTTCACTGCTCTCTGGACTGTCATAACTGAAACTCCTCTTTCAAACATCCTGATCAACTTTTCCCTCTTTATTGTTCCCTCTTTTTTAAACTTGTTCACTGTTTTCTTGAATGGACTTTGAAGATGCAAGCCAGAATATGAATGTTGGTACCATTACTGAAGGCCTGAATGATCTTTTTCCTCTCACCATTGCTTAGTTGGGAAGACAGTGGTGTTGAGAGAAAAATGATTTGAATCTCTTCTCTTTCTAGCAGAATAATCCATGTTTTTTTTTTTTTTTTTAGTGATTCTTAGGGCAAATGGTGTCAAGATGGCTAAGCATCTTATCTGAAAAGGTGGGAAAAAGAAACTCAATTAGTTTAGTGTTCTTTTTTAGATATTAAACATTTTGGGGGGGGGGACAATTTTGCTGTTACATTAAGTATATAACATAGAGAAAATGTAATTTTTCTTTTATTTATATTCTAGTGATAAACAGCATGGACATGGGATAAAATGTTTGCACTATACAAATTTTAATTTGGAATGATATCTAAATATTAAATCATAATAATATATATTAAAATATTAAAAAAAATGTTCTATTAATAATATTCTAGTGATAGACATTATGTACATTGGCTAAAAATGCCAAATAAAAGTCAGGAGTGTAGATCACATACTAAAGTAGATTCATGTAATTGTAAAGTGTAGATTGTAAATCAGGGTAGATTAATGACACATATATTGAATTATAAAGTGTAGATCACATACCAAAGTAGATTCATGTAATTGTAAAGTGTAGATTGTAAATCAGGGTAGATTAATGACATATATTGAATTATAAAGTGTAGATCACATACCAAAGTAGATTCATGACTTGTAGATTGCAATATAGTGTAGATCACAAACCAAAGTAGATTCATGACACGTAGATAACATGTCAAAGTAGCACTCAAAAATGTTTGGGTTAGAATTGAACTTTTTATTTCTTTTTCACTGAATAATTAGCTTGTTAAATTCAAATGAGATAGATTTCAGTTTTATTGTTGTATTTCAAAAACACCAATTGTACTCTCCTCCTGTTATGGTCAATGGATTAAGTCATTGAAAATAACATATTAAAGAAGAAGTAAATATAACAAATATTATAATTTAATTTAATTTACTAATTAATATTAATTTACTAATGAATAATATAATTTACAAAATTTAAATATAACAAAATTTACCGCTCGAAATGTAAGTCTCTTCTGAAGAGAGAAAAAGAGATTTTCAAGGGTGATATATAACCGCCAAAAAAATGGAAATTTCATTGTCCAAAACATTGATGTAAATAATTCATTGAATTATAACTCATCTCATTCGCAACTGTTTCTTTTAAAAGATGGGACACTGATGATTTAGATCCCTATTGTTAGCCTATGGCAAAAGACAAAAAAGTTTCCATTAAAAACAATGTTCATTGAACTAAATAATCTGGAAGAGTATCACATAAATCACTCACACAAACAAAGCATTGTCGAGGAAGCCTGTGGAAAATTTGAGAAGGCCTGACATCAAAGGTTCATCACTGCAGGAAAATAATACCACAGAGTAATGCGGCCAGCAATTATGACAAGTGACTTTCAGCACTTGCATTGTTCCAGATTCTACCTTACTAAAGTTGAGCAACATAGCCATTTGATAATTCACAGAAAGTCTTCTGCAGGCCTTAAGGAGATCCTTAGAAAAACGTATGGCTGACATGAAGCGGAAAGACTATATTGAATGAGCTGTTAAGAAAGTTGGTTCTTTGTGTTGTGCTAGACAATTTAATCTCACCAGAATTTATCTTACATATCTATAACGCTATCATTCACTTAGAATATTGCTGCTACATATGGTCCAGTGCTCTTGCTATTTATTTAGAGATTCCTGATAAAATCCAAAAGAGAATATATTGGTTCTGACTGGCCATCTTGGCTTCAGTCACTTTCCCATCACCATAAAGTCACTTCCCTCTGCCTTTCCTATAAATACTTTCAGGGTAATTATTTGGATGAACTCTTTGCTATGGTACCTCAACTTTATGAATTTAAGTGCAGTACTGGACTGGCATTGAGATCTCATCAATTTACAGTTGAGCTGGTTAAATGCAGCCATAAGTTCGATGCTAACAGTTTTTTTTCTCACACTTCTCATTTGTGGAACTCCCTTCTGGCCTAATGCTTTCCAACCAACTTTAATCTGTAAAAATTTAAATACCATGTCAATTGCTATCTACTGTCTTCCTGATTACTCTTCTATTGTTCTTACTCCTTATTAATGTTTGTTTTTTAATTAGTAACCCCTTGTATCTTAGTGGCTTTACTTCCTTGTTTGCTTAGAGTGATTCTAATTGAAAATAAAAATGAAATATGTTTAAAATATTTCTTGTTTTCATAACAAATTTCAATGAGGTGCACCAAGTTTTTAAAAAGTGAGAAGTGAACATAAATAAATATACAAGATCTTCTTTAAGTTCAATTGTTTTATTCAATTGTTTTTTATAAATCATTCCGAATTATAAAACTAAAGACATTTTGACTGTTTAATAAAGAAATAATGAAGTAAATGTTTCTATCAAAGATTAGGATTTGAGCTAAAGTGGCATTTGCTTTGGAATGAGGGTCATCAAGTCTCAAATGCTGTTCAGTAAATTCTCTCTTTATTGGGTGCTTCATGAAAATGACCATGTACTAAAATTGGTTTTGTTCAACAAATATCTAATTTTAAGATGAAGATTGAAACTGATTTATTTTACTTCCATCTCAAATAAAAAAAATGTTTATTTGAGACAGAGGCTGACAGAATCAAATGAACATAATTTATTTTAAATTTTGACCTCTTGGGAAAAGTCATCCAGCCGCCTTCCACCCTATCTCTGCCCACATTAATGTTTGGGAAGGAACTGAAAAATGAACACAATCAGGAGACACGTGTGGCAAGTGCTGT